GCTGCTGCTGCTGCTCAGGACCTGCAGACGCTGCAGAGCAAGCTGCGGGTGCTGCTGCTGGCGCGCCAAAAGGCTGAAAGAGCTCTCGAGGAAAAGAAGAAAAAGCCAAATGACTTGGAAGCAAAATGCAGAAACTTCCAACACGAACTCGACATCGTCTACGGCAAAGACTCCGAGGTCCAGGGTTTAGGGTTTAGGGTTTGGGGCTCAGGGGGGAGGGTTTGGGGTTTGGGGGGGGTTTGTTGGAGGGTTTAGGGTTTAGGGTTTTTGGGGGCATGTCCTGGGTGGAGGTGCAGCAGGGAGGGTTTAGGGTTTAGGGTTTGGGGTTTGTTGATTTGATTATTTCTTTCAGGAAGAAGAAGACGAAGATGAAGATATTGATGAAGAGGCTTTCATTTAGTTCTCTTTGGGGCCCCCAGCGGGGCCCAGGGGCCCCCCGGGGGCCCCCAGCAGCAGCTTGAGGGGCCCCCAGGGGTCCCCCCCCCCTCAGTACCCTGTAGCCTGGGGGCCCCCCGCAGCCCAGGGGGCCCCCCACAGTGACCCAGGGGGCCCCCTAGGGGCCTCCAAGGGTAGTATTTAATTGGGTGCCCTCTAGGGGCCCCTCAGCAGGAGCGTTAGGGGGCCCTTGGGGGCCCCCTAGGGAGACTTCTGCAGGAAGTTGGGGGGGTCGCCCCTAATTAAATAATACCGGGGCCCCTGGGGGCCCCTTAAACATCCTGCAGTGCTCTGGGGGCCCCTTAAACATCCTGCAGTGCTCTGGGGGCCCCGAATTCCCTCTTTGGAGGCCTCGGGGGGCCCCCTGGCACGAACATTTAGGGGCCCCCCTGCAGCTGCAGCTCACTTATAGTAAAGAATTTCAGGGCGGGGGCCCCCCTGGGGGCCTCAAAGTGCCTCCCAGGGGGCCCCCCAAAGCCGCTCACCTGAAGGGCCCCTAAAAGACCCTGTCCTGAAGGGCCGCGAAAAGACCCTCTCCTGAAGGGCCCTCCAGGGGCCCCCGGAGGGGCCCCGTAGTCTAGCTAGGCCCCACGGGGGCCCCTAGCCTGCTACGTTGGGGGGCCCCCTTGGGGGCCCCGGTTGGGAGGCGCCCCGGGGTCCGCTGAGGGAGTTTCGTGGCACATATTGTGCGTTTGGGACTTTGGAGCGTTTGGTTGGACTCGACGGGTTTTAGAAGTTGAGGGTTTACTGAATATAAGTTGTAACTATTTAATCAAAGTTAGTGAAAGTTGAATTAGTCGGGCTGGGTTTAGTGAGTTGGTGGGCAGCGGCGGGCTGAGGTGCAGTGGGCACAGGGAAGGTCCGGTCCGCGAGACACGGCTTCGCGTGGAACTGAAGAGACGGAAAAGAAGTTCGGAAAGAAAGAAAAAAAGTTGGAAAGGAACCGAATTTGAGCGGAAGCTGGAGCAAACGGAAGGAAGAAGAGGCGCTGGGGTGTACGTACGGCGCGCAGGCGGCGGCGGCGTGGCCGCGCGCGCCGGAGGGGCTGTAGGTCTGCGCAGAAAGCCGGAAGCAGCAGACGCTGGAAAGTGCAGAGCTTGTTGAAAGTGCGTTTCGAAGGCTTTGAGCTAAAAAGGCGCAGCAAGAAGGGCTGCGGCGGGGCGGGCGCGCGTCTGCTGCTGCGGGTGCTGCGGGAGGGCTGCGGGTGCTGCTGCTGCTGCTGCTGCTGCTGCTGCTGCTGCTGCTGCGGGTCCGCGGCGGAGAGCTGGCGCGCGGGAGCCGCGGGAGGCTGGACCCGCGCGAGGAGCAAAAGCAGCGGGAGAAGCTGCGGCGCAGCAACGCGCCGCCCCGCTGCCGCTGCTGCTGCTGCTGCTGCTGCTGCTGCTGCTGGTGCGGGGTGTACGTACAGCGGAAGATGGCGGCGATCGGGATGCCGCCGCACATCCTGGCGCTGTTCCAGGCGCGGGAGCCGCTGGCGCCGCTGCCGGCGCTGAAGGCGAAGCAGCCGCGGCCGTACGCAGGCGTGGCGGAGTACCTGAAGAAGTTCGAGAGCGGCCCGCCGCCCGCCGCGAGCGCGTTCGAAAGCCCGAAGCAGCGGCAGCAGCGGCTGAAGCGGCAAAAGCTGCTGCTGCACCTGCAGCAGCAGCAGCGGCAAGCCGAAGCCTACCGCCCCCTCGAAGACCCCCGCATCCAGGGCGACCCCTTCGCCACGCTCTTCGTCGGCAAACTCAGCTACGAAACCTCCGAAAAAAAACTCCGCCGCGAGTTCGAAGTCTACGGCCCCGTCCGCCGCGTCCGCGTCGTCCGCGACCCCCGCGGCCGCCCCCGCGGCTACGCCTTCGTCGAGTTCGAGCGCGACCGCGACATGAAGGAGGCTTACAAGAAGGCCGACGGCACGAAGATCGACGGCCGCCGGGTGCTCGTCGACGTCGAGCGCGCGCGCACAGTGCCGGGTTGGTTGCCGCGGCGTTTGGGCGGCGGCCGGGGGCCGCCGCGCGGCGCGGGCCGCAACCAGCCGGACCTCAGTTCCCTCGTCGCCCACATTGGGGGCCCCTCGGGGGCCCCCCCCGGCTCCAGGGAGCGGGAGCGGGAGCGCGAGCGGGACAGGGAGCGGGACAGGGACAGGGAGCGGGACAGGGACAGGGAGCGGGAGCGGAGGCACCGCAGGAGCCGCAGCAGGAGCAGGGATAAGAGGAGGTCCGCCCCGCGGGTTTACTCCGGCTCTTGCCCTTACTTGGGCTTCTTGCCCTTTATTTGGGGGGTTCCGCTTTATTTGGGGGGGTTCCGCTTTATTTGGGGCGGTTCCGCTTTATTTGGGGGGGTTCCGCTTTATTTGCGGTTTATTTGGGGGTTTTGGGGTTTATAACGCTCTATTAGGGTTTATTCGGGTTTATAACGGTTTGTTAGGGTTTAGGGTTTGCGGGGTGGTGTTTTGTGTAGGGACGACCGGGACAGAGATCGTCGGAGATGAAGGGAGATGGCGGCGGATTGGAATTGAAATAAATACATAAATAAATTAAATAAATAAATCAATAGAATTAATTAATTATTTAGTTAAAATAAATAGGTGTAAATGAATGAACAGAATTAAATCGCCATTTGTAAATAGAAGCAGCAGCAGCAGCAGCAGCAGCACCAGCAGCAGGGGATGGGAGCTTCGTGTTGTAGCAGGAGTTGAGGCGGTGAGCTCGGCGGTTTAGGGTTTAGGGTTTGGAGAGAGGCCGTGACGAGCCGGGCCTTGAGTTTCTTCGGACTTTCTTAATTCCAGTTGCAATCGTCTTTTTTATTTATCTATTTATTTTTATCTATTTATTTATCTACTTATCTATTTATTTTTATCTATTTATTTATCTACTTATCTATTTATTTATTGGTTTTGTGTTGTGGGGAGGAGGGAGATAGCGGTGCTGCTCCTTGAGGTGGAT